TCGAAAAGTGCAGCCTGGGTTATTTTTGCATCCCAGGGTGATGTGATGTTTGGGGTCACGTCCGGTGGCTGTCCAGGTGTGTGTGACTCTCAGTGATAATGATGGATGTGGGACCTAACATTCCACAGTAGTCTGATTTTTAGGAGGAGAGGCAGCCTTATGGTGAAGCTTCCTGAGCAGGGGGTCCTGAGTTGGGGCTACGGAACCCTGACTACTGGCACCCTGGGTTGTTCCAGCCTTGGGCATGACTCTGATCCTTTGTCAGAAACTGACAGTGCATGGTAACTGAAAGCTGAAGCATAGCGATTATTCACTTCCTTTATTCCTCATTCATCAATGGCAATTGCCAGCTCACACTGAAGAACCCCACAAGGCAGAAGGCAAAAGTGGGAGGAGAGCAAAGTCAGGGCATGGTTTCTCCTCTTTTGTTAGTGGTTCTGTAAAAAAAAAATATTTTGGTGGTAGGGAAAGGAGTAGGAGGTGAAAGGGAAAAAAACAGGTAATTTTGGGTTTCACTAATCTCTCTGCTTCCATCTTCTATGACTTACTGCTCATACCAGTGTACCCCTTTCCATATGTAAGGGGTGGATCTATAGCCTGGAATTATATATTTGGTATAGAGATTTTGCATTATTCTACCTCTACGCCCAATTATATTAATCAGCAGTTTGACAATTCAGTGTTACTCTGCAAAAATTTTTGCTGAAGCTCTTTACATGCCGTTTGTTTGATTGATTGATAAATCCATACAAAATATTCACTGAATGCTTACTGTGCCCCAGACCCCAAGCAGAGATTTGGGGTGACCCAGCTAAGAGCAGTTTGCCTTCATAGGATTTACTTTAATTAGAAGGCTAGAAAGTTAAGACAATAATTAGGATACACTATAGTAAGTGCACTGATAAGGGAAATCCTTATCATCAAGATGAGTGGATTTAACAAGGTGAAAAAGGGTGAGGAGACACTATTATTCTAAGCAGAGGGTCATCTTAAGTAGCACTTCATAATTTCTCTTCACTTGGCATATAGATTTAGGAAGTCCTGAGTGAAAAAGAACTTCCCTTATAAAGATCCTCCTGGATGATGATTATTATCCAGCAGAACTTCATTTACTTTCCTCTAAAATCATATACCCATGGTATATGATTTTGTGTTATGGCCACTGCAGGATCTGGAAGGCCTTAGTTCTTCTATCTCTCAATTAGGAGTTTTGCACATGGACTTGAATGTTGAATTAAAAAGTATATTGATTTAGGACGCAATGGAAATCAATTCTATATCACAAAGCTAGGTGGGAAAGGCAATTCACGTGTGATTTTGACTCGTTTGCTGCTCCCTGGATTGGCTAGTGAGCTGGCTATATTTGGCCTTCTTGAAGGTTCTCGGATCTGCTCTATCTCTTCCTGTCAGACCAGCCAGTGGTGGGCACCCTGACCCCTGGCTATTTCCTGAGAGATCTTACTTTAGCTACACTTAAGTTGTTATAATTTCAGGCCCATGTATACATTCTTCAACAACAAATATTTTAGTTCAACTTATTTCAACACAGTCAAGAGCTTCCTGTGCCCCCGGCTCTGTGGTTGGAGCTGATGATACAAGAATGAATAAGACAGGCCCCTGTTCTTAAATATTCCAAGTGTCCAGCTGATCTAGGGATGGGGCAGTGGGCTAGAGGGATGGGCATGAAGGCTTTGGGTAATAGCTCTCTATAACATGAAAAGGAAATATGTTGTAGCTTTAGGAAATTCTAAGATAATTCTGGCAGAAAATAGGACCTGGTCCCTTGGGACATTATATGTTTTACCCCCAACTTCCTTTCTTGCTATTGACATGGAATTATTTCTATTCCTTTACCCTGAGTTCTTTTTTGGGTGATGGAGTGGGTGGGGCTGAGATTATTTGGGAGACCCACACTCATCAGTTTGTAAATGGGGCCTCTCAGCAGCTTGAAAGAGTTGATATTACAATATAATAGGAAATAAATCTTTGGTCTTTGTTCCTGTTATAGAGCTCCTAAAATGCTTCTAATTTCCTGAGTGACAGAATAAAAACCACTCTCTGTTATGTTTGGTCTTAGTCCTTGATTCCTGACATAAGAGAAATCTCTGAAGCAATGAGCATCTTTTTCTTTTGTATACTAATGAGGTGACAGGTAGGTGGGGAGGCCTGTGTCTAGTTATAGCTTCAGGATGGGGGCTACTTGCCAGGAAGACTAAGGTGTGATTAGAGTGATGGATCTCTCATGCTCTTCTCCTAATATCTGAGAAGGGAAAGTGGAGAGGAGCAGGGGATTGAGCTAATCAAATAGCCAGTGCTGTTACGGAAACCTCTGTAAAAACATCTGACACATGGGGTTCAGAGAGCTTATGGATTTTTGAACATATTGAGGTCCTAGAAGTTCTGTGTATCCCTCCCCCACCTTGACTTATATATCTCTTTCATTTATCTGTTTATGAAATGTGATTTTCAGAATAAACTTGTCATGTAAGTAAACTGTTTTCCTGAGTTCTGTGAAATGTTCTAGCAAATTGTCATCAAAACTGAAGAAGAGAGCAAGGGGTACCCTGATTGACAGCTGGTCAGTCAAAACATATGGGAGGCCTAATATTTGTGATTGGCGTCTGAAGCGGGGCAGCTTTATGGGACTTGAGGCTGAATTTTTAAACTATGTTCTAACTCTAGATAGTGTCACAGTTGACAAGAACTGTAGACTTGAGAGGTAGCTAATTGGTTGGTGTGGGGGAAAAATGTCTCCATATATTTGGTGTCTGAGTGTTGTAAGTAAAAACAATTCAGAACTTCCAAAAATGAACATATAGATAATCAGTAAAAAAGATTTTCAAGTAATAATACTTGATTTTTTTCATTCATTTGGAGTACATTACCTTGGAATTTATGATTGTTAAAAACAATTTAGTCTAACTTGATTTTCATGTTAGCTATGAAAAAGGGGTCCTGGATAAAAATTAAAAGAATAGGGCCCTCCCTGGTAGCACAGCAGGTTAAAACACAGCACTGAGAAGCTAAAGGCACTTCCACATGAGTTCGATTCCCCGTCTACCCTGGAGGTGATGCACATGGCGCGGCAAACTGCTTCTGACCCTCCCCCTGTTCGCCTCAGCAGTGTACTTCGTTCATCTGCCTATTCTGCACCCTACACTGTCTCTGGTGACTCCTCTCACTGCCCCTGCACCTCTGACCTGTACCCCAGTTCTGTATGTAAAAGTTAATAAATCTTTAAAAAAAATTAAAAGAATAAACTCTCTTTGGCAACACTGAAGCAGGCAAAGCTGACACAATTAGAAACAATACTTAACTACTCAGGAAGACAGTTCTCTTAAATAGAAACCATGGTATAACAAATTCTGTTGAAACATTCTGGTACCAACTTTGCACTGGAAGACTTAGTGCTGATATCCAGGCTCTAAGTCACTTTTCTCTATTATACAAAGAGTCAAATTAACAGTGGCATTCATCTAATGGGTTGTTTATTTCCAGAAGTCATGAAAGCCAGAAAACCATAGCAACCACTGTAGGCAGAGATGATGTGAAAGGGATTTATCCTCTTGGCAAAAAAGAATTAAAAAAAAAAAAAGGTGTGAAAAGTCCTGCAACACTCACCAACAGTTCTAGGCAACTTCACTTTTCCTTTTTTCATTCTGCAGGAGTTACAACCCAGCAGGAATGGTAATTATGGTGAAGGGTTATTTGTTGCTTCCCCTATAACTCTGATTTTATAATTCTAAGCTCAGCGGCAGAGCCCAAAGTTCATGCACACGTTTATAGTGAAGGTAATGACAATGAGCATATCAAGAAATGACAAAGCACTCGGTATGTGCCATGTATTATAAGCTCTCAGATTCTTCCTTATTAAAGTCATCTCTCAGGGGCCTCCCTCGTGGCAAAAGGGGTTTAAACAAAGCACTATGAAGCTACCTGCAGCATGAGTCCCATCCCTGGCCAGGAGGTGACCTACATGGCGTGGCAGACCTCTCCTGCCAGCTTCTCCCGTCAGCAGTGCATTTCAGTCATTCTTTCTGTTCTGTTCCCCACTCTGCTTTTGGTAAATGCTCTCACCCTCTGGACCTCTGACCCTATGCTAAATAAATAAATCTTTAAAAAAATGTCATCTCTCAGGAGCTACATGAACTCATAGGTCATGAAAATTACTGTACCAATTCATCTAATGGCAAAAACTTAGCTACCAAATCTGGGTCATGGATGATGAAATTGCTGCTTTGCTGTTAATGTAGTTGTTAAGCCATATTAAAATCAATGGATACCTAATTGGCCAGCGCAAACTGCATCCGTTTGTTCAACAAATAATGGTGAAAACTTTGTGATTCAAAACTGGATAGTACGACAAATCAAATACCATGGAGTTCACCTTATTTACCAAGGCTCAGCTACTTTTCTTGAATACATTCTCTGGATCATTGTACACCTTTAAGTTATGGAGTTCTGAAAATGTTAATTTTTTAAAAAGATTTTTAAAATTTATTCATACAGAACTGGGGTACAAGCCAGAGGTGCAGGGATGGTGAGAGGATTCACCAGAGACAGAGTGGGGAGAAGAACAGGCAGATGGATGAAGTACACTGCTGAGGGGAGCAGCAGGCCGGTCAGGAGAGGTCTGCCGTGCCATGTGGGTCACCTCCAGGACTGGGGATCAAATTCACACTGAGGCTGCTGAGGCTAGCTTGCAGTGCTGTGTCCTAACCCATTGCACCACCAGGGAGGGCCTGAAAATGTTAATTTTGAGATGTGATTTTGTTGGTTTACTTTGTGTGTGTGTTTTCAGAAAGTGTTCTTGTTGCTTCAAGGAGGAATGGGATTTTGGCAGTTCTTACTCCATCATTCTGAAAGTGCTTCTCTCCATTTTCATGCTCTACAGTTATATGTAAAAAGTCACTGGGATTAAATGGACTCCTGGGCACCCACACTATTCTGCATATGTGGGACAGTGAACTGCCTGGCGGAAGGACCTGAGGCAGTGAGTATCCAAGCATCTTCTGTTTCAGCTGGAACTTTTCTTAACTTGGAGAGGAGCAGGCAGTTAACATGGGGAATGTGAAAGAAATGCCACCAGCCAACTGGTCATGGGTAAAAGGTTTCTGGGTAAGTGTAACTCATGGCATGTTACAAAACTCAGCTGCTATATAGCTCACTTTGCTTTAATTTCATGGTAGAAAAATATATCACACTGTGAAGCATCTTGTCCAGACCTTTGATTTCAATGCAAACTTGGATGCTTATGCTGAGAATAGAAAATATATTTAGGCTGCCTCAAGTGTATTGCCTACTCTCTTCCCTCTTGTTCAGGGACAGTCCTTAAGACTCAACCTGTGATCTTTTTTCCCTCAAGGCAAGAGTGTAGAGCAGTGGATTCAGACAGTATCATGTGAACTGGGAAATATGTGTAGAGGAGCAGTTTCTATATATATTAACTTTAAAAAAAATCAAGAAAGTCTAGATCAAAGGATAGTTGTGTCAGGTTAATCTGATTTCAATATAGAGAGTTGCTTCTCATGACAAAAGATCTAAATCAGCTCAATTGTCACCTCCTCTGATATTTTCCTCATTTCCTCCAGGGAGTAAATGCACTTGACAGGTTTCTGCCAGTGACCACCTTCTCAGTTCGTTACAGATATGCGTTTGTCTGTCTGTCCGGTCTAGTGCTTCTGTCATCAGGGTGGTTTTGGCCCCCATGGGACATATTTTTGGGCAGCAGCACTGAGCTGGGCTATGCTGCTGGCATCTGGTGAGTAGGGGCCGTGATGTTGCAAGCATCCTATAATGCATAGGCCAGGTAAAGGCATGTTCCTCTCCAAATATCAGTTATGCTAAGGTTGAGAATCCCTGCTCTAGTCCAAGGGATTTGAGGACAGTGTGTGTGTGTTGCTGGGCATATAATAATACATAATAAATGTAAACATATGATTTGATTAAAGGACAGTATAAAAGCCCATTCCTTTCTTATCATTTGAAGTGGTTTGAAGGCTTATAACTATGTATTTAAAGTTTTCTTGGTTAGCCACTGAAAGGGAAAGCCAGAAAGATCAAACACTCCATTTATTCATAGGGATAAATGTCAAAAATGCATGGAAAAAAGTCAACCTGAGAGACTCTGGGGGCGAGCCGGAAAATGAAATCCTTCTAACATTTCTTTAGAAAGGCATCGTTCAGTCTTACCTTAGCTGATGGGGCTGGCACTTCTCATTCATCAGAATAGGCACATCCTTTCATCTGAATTTGTTTTATTCCTCAGTGTGGTTTTCGGATGTGGACTTGGTCTCCTGTTCTCTGTTATGGAGACCCGGGGCAACACTATAGGGTGAGACACAGTGCCAGCAGCCAGTGCACAGCTGGGAGAGAAGCTGGACATGGAAAGGAAACTTTCTGCCTCCATTTTACTCCCATATGGAAAACAAAACAAAACAAACAAACAAACAAAAAAACAGGCTTTTGCAGTTGGGAGGGGAAAAGAAAGAATGGGAACAATAGGTGGCTTGACTTCTCGGACTTGGGGCCTTACATTCCAGTGGGCATCGGTGTGGAATCAAAGTGTGCTGGGATAGGGCTGCATCTTCTGCACAGTGTTTTTGCAGAAAAAAACGAGCACAGGCTTGATAACACATACCCTCAACCTCCACCCAAATACCCTGCTGGGATATGTGTGGACACACAGCAAACACACAGACATGCTTGTTGAAGGGACTTTGGTATAAACTCAGTAATGAATAATTTGATTTAGCAAGTGATGTGAGCTTTGATAAATAGCCAAGGATTCACTACTAAGTATTTACTTTTCAACAGGATGTTGGCCAGATGCTGTTTTCATTAGATTCATTTAGTCATTCCTGTGAGTTAAGAAAAGCCATCTTCTTTTTATAAATGAAAGAATTAAGATCAAGAGAGGTCAGCCAACTTGCGTAAGGCTGTAGAACTAATGTGGCAGAGAGCAGCTGAACCCATCTAGTTTGCACTGCTTTAAGGGAGGGGCCTTTTGTTTCTGTGAAGTGGTGACTGGCGGACTGGGGGCGGGGGTCGGGTGGGGGGAGGCAGGACTGGGTTTGGTGGGTCTGGGGCTGCCTCAGCTAGTGTCCACGTCCACGGTGCTCAGCAGACCTTGAAAGCTGTCTAAGTGGTTACACAGCTGTCAGGCCCTAAAGTACAAGGGAGACACAACTTATCTAAGTACTTTTTTGAGTAAAGACTGAGAACTTATGGACAAGCTTGACTTGAATTCCAAGGTAAGCTGGGTACTGAGAAGGCAGAGGAAGAAGGGGTTACTCAGAGCAGGAGGGGTGTGCCCAAAGAAACTCAAAACTCCAGCTATCTGGAGAGAGGAGCGTCTTTATACTTCATGTATGAAGTGCCCATGATGATGAGCCAGTGATCTTCAGCCAAATCCACATTTTTTTTGCCCCACCTTGCGTTCGGCCACTAAAACTTAACTCCTTTGTTTTCAACCCTGGTTCCCCAAACCTATAAAACTTCATTTCTCTCCTTAATCAGGAGGGAGATTTGTGTTGACCTCTTACTTTGTTGCCAATCAGTTTGCAAAAGCCAATTTGTCTTTTCAAACACCTGATGTCATTATCTGATTTAGAGACTGCAGGTAGAGGACCCCATAGATTGGCAACAAAATTGTATATGTTCTTTTACCTGCATTAAAAAAAATATAATAGTTTATTTTTACATCATTTTGTGCATTTTTCATCTCAGTTGTAATCCCTGTGGGCTTCCCATCACCAAATCACCTGTGTGCCATCACCATAGTCCAGTGCATTTCCCTCCCCCGACTGTTTTTGATCCCAATCCCCACTGTACCCCCGTAAAATGTCTCTGATCTATAGCTGTTCACTGTTATTATTTTCTCACCTGGTCTGTTATATTCCTGCCATGAGTGAAACCATCCTGTATTTTTCTTTTTCTTTCTTGCTTATTTCATGAAGCATGATCTTTTCCAGCTCCATCCAAGTTGCTGCAAAAGACATGTGTTTCTCTTTTTTGGTTGCTGAGTAATACTCCATTGTGTATATGTACCACATCTTTTTAATCCAGTCATCCACTTTTGGGCATTTGGGCTGTTTCCATGTCTTTCCAATTGTAGTTTAGATAAAGCAACAATAAACATGGAGGTGCAGGTATCTTTTTGAATCAGTGTTTTTGTGTCTTTTGGGTAGATACCTAGGAGTGGGATTGCTGAGTCATATGGAAGCTCCATGTTTAGCAGTTTGAGGAACCTCCAAACTGTTTTCCATAGTGGTTGTACTTGTTTGCATTCCCACCAGTACCTGCATCTTTTAAAAAAGATTTATTTATTTATGCTTGCAGAACTGGGGTACAGGCCAGAGGTGTGGTGGGTGAGAGGATTCATCAGAGACAGAGTGGGGAGCAGAGCAGACAGATCTATGGAAATACACTGCCAAGGGGAGCAGCGGGTGGGCAAAAGAGGTCTGCCACGCCATGTGGGTCACTTTCCTGGCTGGGGCTCAAACTTGTGCTGCAGTGACTTCTGAGAGCTTCATAGGTGGTGTTTTAACACATTGTGCCACAAGGAGAGCCCTCTTTTACTTGCATTTTAATGAAGACAGTGTAAGGATCAGGTGGCCTTAACAGAATCCAGCCTCTGTGATACAGTGTCACCACTTCACTGTGCACATATTGCTTGTGCTTCCTGAGGCCACAAACCATGGATGGAGTTACGATCACTGCTTCCATCCATGCATTATAGACTCCTTTCCACTAGCTAATGAGGAAATCCAGCCTCTCTACAACCCTCCAGAGTTTTCTTCAGGTCTTAAGAGTTTTGGGTAGGTCCTTATCTATATGCCAGGCAACTTCGGTCAATGTCCTTCTTCATTTCTCTCTTTGACCTGACCTCTCTCAGGCACTAGCAGCATGGTGCAGACCTCTCAGTATAGTTTTGGAGTTGGACCCTCCATAGCTCATTGTATCCTGCCTCTGCTATGAACTCCCTGAGAAGTTGGACAATTTGTTCATATTTATTTTCTTCCTTGATAAAATTACAGCTAGCTCTCACTGTTATACAGATTAAATGAGAGAATCCATTGAAAGTACTCAGCATGGTGTCTTGCGAATAGACCTGTTTCAAGTTTAGCTATTACTAATGTTAACTCCGCCCTGTCTTCCAGGCATGATAAGAAACAGCAGCAGCTGCATTTGGGAGACTGCCTGGGTGGAGAACTCTTTAGAGACCAACCTGGGGATACATCTCTGTAGAAACAGTAAGTTTTTGGATTTGGAGAAAAAGATAGGGGGAGGGGCAAGCCTCCAGTTAGAGAGGTTGAGCTCCTTTCTACTACTCTTTACCTCTGATAAACATTTTGTAGTTTTATTGGCCTGAAAATATAGATTAATTTTTTTTTCACTAAACATTTAAAAAATATTATTACTGGATATTTGAACAGGCAACCTGTGTTATTTTTACCTGGACTTGTCTGTTAAACTTTTAAATACTTTATTTTCCAATTGGAGGGTAGATCTGGCAGGCAGAAACTATTTTTAAAAAGAATTTCAGGCACCTTGGAGACAAGTGGCCCAGAAAGTGATAGTATGATATCTAAGGTAAGATTTGAGGAATCAAGAATTTGGAAGAAGTTATCAGAATGTACATGCATGGTTCCTGAAAAGCTCTCTAGATATTTTCTGTTACTCTGGTGAATGTGAGAGTGGTACTGCTGAGGTGGAGGGAGTTAACGCCTCCTTGTCCCTAAGTCTTTTGGAATTCTTATTAGATGCTTTATTACACAGAGAAGTCTGTATCGTTCTCACATCTTGAACTGCAGTGTAATTCGAGTTTGAGGTTGTTTCTGTCCAACACTATCAATGGGGAGCACATGGGATTGAATTAAGCCTGAATTCACCCCCATGGGGAATACCAATATGCTCTAAAGCAGACTTAATGGTAACAATATTTAATTCTGCTCGCATGTATCTATCTTTGCCTGAAACAGCAGGATTCTTACTTTAATAGGCTGGGTCTCTTTGCAAACAAAGAGAACCCACTGTATCTAGTCAAAGCACAAAAAGGATTTAGCTAATAAAGAATATAGGAGACTCCCAGAAACTCCATGTGGACCTGAGGGCCTGGACGTCAGAACAATACTGAAATGTTCCTGGTATCTGCCCCCAGAATGGCCCTGCTGCCATTGCTTTGGGAACTGATGTGACAACTCGCAGTGCTGGTGGCCCATTGGCCACAAGACCCGGGATCTTTCACACTCCAAAACAGAGCGCTTCCTTTCCCCATTGCAGAAGATGGATTCCACACAGAGCCTGCTGCATTGTTTCCCTTCTTTCTTCAGAGATTATGTTTCAAGTAAGTGTGTCCACCATTAAGCTGAAGTTGGTTCAAACCTGCCCAGGAACGCTGACTGTTAAATTTCAGGGGATTTTGTTGTCCAATTTAAGAATCATGAGTAACTTGAAACAGCCCATGGTAGGAATATTTACACCATGGAAATTGGAAAGTGTTATAAATCAAAGCCTTTTACCCCTCTAAGGAGCCAATTATGAAACATTTACCATCACGTCTCTGCAGAGAATGCTGGGTAATTTGGGCTTACAGCTCCTTTGGGAAGTTAGACCTCCTAATGCATGAACTTCTCTAGACACTGGTATGCTGTTTAAACTTTGCTGCATACAACCACTAAAATAGCAAACTGTTGGTTTCAAGATTTCCTCCAAATGATTCCCTTATCAAAGTGTCGTCTAATGCCTGAGGTAAGACTGAGTATGCTTCAGGTTATAGCTGGAATCTACAGCCTTGTCTCCTTTATGCAGCACACTGCCAAGTGGCTGTTTTCCCTGAAATAACTCAGAGTATTATTGAGGAACAAAATGGAACCATGTGGCCCTTTGAAACATCACTGGAAAGTCATGGGTCATGACCATTCTGAGTATGTTGTCTTCTAGTTTTAGTCTCTGGGAATTATTCCTAGAAAGAAGTAGATAGAAATGACTCCAAAGATAACTGATGATGGACATGGCCACATAGCAATTATGAGCGACGTGCAGCAAGGGGCACCTTCTTTCTGAAAACAGAAGAAAATTAAAAAAAAAAAAAAAAGAGGGAGAGCCTTGGCAGATTCAGATGTGGGAAATCTGATATCTGATTGCTGGAAGATAGTCTCCATTGGGAACGATGGGAATTGGGAAGGCTAGCGTGTGACAGTGGGGGAGGCATTAATAAAGGACGAGAGGGTGTGGGTCCCATGCCTTTCCCCCTTCTATATCCTCATCCTTTCAAGGCAGCAGGGTGACCCCAGGGTCTTCCTGAGTTCTGGAGAAGCAGTTCCAGGCTTGCCCAGGATAAAGCTTACCTTGACAGGCCTGCAGCAGGGCTGCTTCCAGTCATGGTCTGCAGCACAAATATTTCAGAGCCATTAGGCCTGATGTGGACTGGTTGGAGTGAGGGTCAGTTTTGGGTATCAGAGTTGTCTCTGGAGTCCAGAAGCAGAGACATAGCTCTGAGTCCAAACAGAATGTTTTCAAGAAGACTTTTGCGAAGGATACAAAACCTTCTTTTAGCTGCAAAACACCCTTCCTCTGTGACAATGGCTCTGTGGTGGGTGCAGGAAGGAGAGATTACCCAGCCCAGTGGTGCTAGAAGGTGACCAAGGCACCAGTGGAGAGCCCCTTTTAGGTTACAGTCACTTCACTGCTTACTAAAATAAAGTGTTTTATAAGGTTTCTCAGGGGGTCCTTTGAGATGCAGTGGTTAGATATATACTCAGCCTGGCTTTTCTAGCTCCCAAGCCACTTCCCCCTCTGGAGACTTAGATGCAGGTGTAGAGCAGAAGTAGAAAAAGATCTGCATGGAAATAGACCTGAATCCGAAGGCACACTGCGCCCATGGAGAAAACATTCACTCTCTGAACAGTAAGAACCTTTCCCAAATAAACCACCAGCTGGTGAGGCTTTAATCTGAGACTCTGTCTCTGGGGGAAGCAGGCTAAGATGGCATCAAGAGATATTAACTTTAATTAACATTACCACTAATATTTTATGTTTTCTCCATCTAGCATATTCTGGAGAAAATTCAGTAACCTATCAATTATTTCTGTGCCTATCTAGAAATCCTCATTCCATTCCCTGCAGGTGCACTAGTTTTTGGTATTGTGGCCACTCCTATTACTGTCTATCTCTTGTCTGTGCCATTTCAGCCTTCTCTGTTTTGCTTCTGCCCAAACTAGCAACACACAAACTCCCCACACCCAACCTCTCATTCCCCAGGCACTTTTTCTTTTTTAAAGGTTTTTTAAAAAAGATTTATTTATTGATGCATTCAGAACTGAGGTATAGGCCTGAGGTTCAGGGCCAGTGAGAGGATTCAGCAGAACAGGCCAACTGATGAGGTACATTGCTGAGGGGAGCAGCAGGTAGGTCAGGAGAGGTCTGCTGCACTATGTGGATCACCTCCGGGGTGGGGATTGAACTCATGCCGAAGTGGTTTTAGATTCTTAGTGCTGTGCTTTAACCATTGCACCACCAGGGAGGGCCCCCTAGGCACTTTTATCCCAGGACTTTGAGTTATGTCACAGGGCGACCCAACATGAATTGGGTTGCCTCTCTGTGGGTGCTCACCTGTGCACTTAAGATTCAACTGCACTGTAGACACACACAAACAGGTCAACCATGGGTTCATCTACAAGGGATAAAAGGAAAGGAACAACCCAGGGAAAGAGAGAGAGAAAGAGACATGTTGAATAATGCATCCTACCAGTTCTGCTGATGTGGAACCCCAATTGCATGCTGAAAGCTAATGACAAGCCAAGTGACCAGTCTCCAGCCATGAGAACAAGAGAGAGAGAGACCCTCAGCCCAGCATGTCTGGTCTTATATCCAAAACCCCAAAATGGTTGCTTAACTCTGCCCTTGGGTCCCTGCAGTCCTCCCTTTGGTGTTGCTGGGATTTATAGTTTCAGTGTCTGGAGTAGGGGGTGGAGTCTGAAAAACCTATATCTGTAGAGTTTGTTCAGGACATCCTTTCCCCCTAATAGTTAGGAGAGATGCCTATGGAAGACCCATGGGGATAGTCTGACTTCACCAAATAAGGATGTTTCCCTTTTTCTTGGAAAAAACAATGAACACATTATGGCTGTTAAGTAAATGATACTAAGACCTATGTGTTCTTTCCCAGAAGATACATCCTGCATATTTTAATAAGGGCTGAGACCAAGGAAGCAAGGAAGACAGTTGATTTATTTCCCCCCTTTGAGAGGATGGCTCGAGAGACTAGACTTTCGTTCTCATTTTCACATGAAGTAACCCCAGATCCATTCTCAGCATTCCTATCACTCTCCTGGGGTCTGTTCTCACTTCATCATTTCCTGAGTGGCTGATTAGATTCATGTAACAACTACCCCTTCTGACTACACTTCCAGCAGAGGTGCCTTCTTAAAACACAGAGGCAATAATTGTACTCTGTGGCTTAAAACCTGTCAAAGGGGCCGTACTGTACAGATAGTGAATGGTCTCTGCGTGGCCCCAGGATCCCTGATGATCCAGGCCCTGCCTGTCTGTCTATGCTGTTTCCCAGCATATCTGTCTCTACTTCTGCTTCTCACCCTACACCTGCACCAGCATCAACTCTACTTGTGAACTTGTTAAAAATGCAATTCATGGACCCACTTCTGACCTACTCAATCATAAATGCTGAGGTTAAACCCATACATCTGAGTTTTAGTAAACTCCAGGTATACCTATGCAAGCTCAAATTTAGGAACCACTCACCAAAAGCAAAGAAGGAATGTTCTGACCCCCTACTATATCTGGAAATTCCTGCTCCTCCTGAGAGTCAATTTGTTCATTTCTTCCATGAATCCTTCTCTGCTTTCACCTTACTGCATTTACCACTCCCTCCTGGTGCCCACACACTTTCATCATGAAGTATAAACTACAGTTTTTCAGTTTACTTGCTCAGATCTCTAAAAATTTGAAAATTAAAAGTTTGTGTTAACTTCTTTTCTCTGGCCCTCATTCTCTGGCCCTACTCTCTCCCCTCCCCTACTTTCCCTCTTCCTCTCCTCTCCCACCCCCAGTTTCCATAATGAAGGAGGCTGCAGGAGAGAATAGGAATCCACTGTTAAAAGTTCACTGGCTGTGTTCACCAGCTAGAATCTTTTTTTTTTTTAAGATTTATTTATTTATTCATACAAAACTGGGGTATATACTAGAGATGCAGAGGGTGATAAGATTCACTAGAGACAGAGTGGGGAGCAGAACAGACAGATCAAAGAAGTACACTGCTGAGGGGAGCAGTGGGTGGGTCAGGAGGGTTCTGCCTCGCCATGTGGATCTCCTCCAGGGCAGGCGGGGATGGAACTCATGTGGAAGTGGCTTAAGCTTCTTAGTGCTGTGCTTTAACCCACTGCACCACCAGGGAGGGCCCTAGAATTGCTTTTGACTGCCTTTTGACAGGATGTAGCCAACATTGTCCCAGATATCGAAGGACTAGACCCATCATTAGCTTTTGAGGGAAGAGAAGATCTGTAGTCAAAAAATGATCAGTTGCTGGCACTAAGGTAAGTTTGCTCTGTAATCCTAACTGTTGTTTTTAAATGGATCAATTGAAGATATAGTTGATTTTCTCTTTAGTCTGAGAGCAACAAATACTCTTCGTAAAATCTAAGCCAGTAAAAGAAACCTTGGAGTTTCACCGTTAGGGATACTTGTCTGTATATAATCTAGGAACATCATAATCTAGGAACATACCCATTGATCTACCACTCCTCTATCTGATTGCACTAATTGTGGGCAAAGAGGGCTTTTGTGAACTAAGAAAGTGGGGGTCCAAAGAGGGCTGGGCAGTTGAAGGAGCAAAGACCTACCTTTAACCTCCTCTGGTAATGTCCTCACTGCTCTGTAGAGATTGGGTAGTGGCTCCCAGAGCTGGCTACCTGGAGGGAGGTCCGCTGTGTCTATTGGGGGAGGGGCAGTTGTCAAAGCTTCCTGATTTGCTAATGGGCCACACCTCACAGTATTTCCTGTAGCTTAGTTATCCCCAGTGTTCAGGACAGTGCCCAAATACAGCAAATTCTAAGTAAATTATGGCTGAAGTTTTATAATTGTGAATTCCAGGCTTTGTGGGCACCATACAACAGAAAGTCATTTACCTTTCTCCCGCTGTTTAGATCTGCTCTTAGACGTCTTTGGAAAAATCTTAATTTAAAAAGATAGAAGCAAGCAGCCTGCAGCTACATTAAAGTTTTCCTCCAGGCCAGAAGCTTTCCTATAAACGATTTGATGAAATAGCAGATGGCAAAGTTACAACCTTTGTAACTCTAAGATTTAATAGAAACCACGATCAACTACAGTAATGGACTGTCTTGTAACCCAAATTGATGCTTTTATTGTGTTCTGCTGGGCTTGTCACTTGTTCTGTCTCTTCGTTAATTATGACAAAAATCACTATAATTATATGAATTGGACAATAAATCTGTAGCCAATATCCTTTGAATATAATTTGTGTAACTGAATACCCTCGGTTGAGTATTGCTTTAAGAACTAAAAAGGAGGAAAGAGATGACTCTCACAAATACAGGGCTTTTCTGAATCAGCGTGATTTGGGTTATAATAGACTGCAGTGAGAGAGCTAGTGTATGCTGGAATACTTTATATTCAGCAGAGCTCATCTGGGTCCCAGCAGTCAGGAATTCTGGGACACAGATTCTCTCCAGTAAAACTCTTTAATTTATACCCTTAATAGGCCGATTAAGGATGTGGTGGTGGAGTGATATGATTATCAGCTCAGTTTCATCAGGCTGAAGTTATAGCTCCCAAGAGCCACATATTTGCTTCTGTGTGCTGCGGCGTGGGAAGGGGCCCTCCACACATACAGTGAGTGAATGGATCCCCCTCTGGTGGAAGGTAGCTGAGATTAATAGAAAAGCCTGCTTTTTGTCAGGTATTATAATCAGGAAGATGAAAGTTCTCTCTGTAATACAGTTTTTGCTTCTACTTCCAGGATGCTGCAATTAAAGACTTGGACAGAGGATGGGGACATGAGTAATGGTGGCACCCCATATTAGCACAGCACTTCATTCATCACCACTGAAGGGCAAATGCAAAACCCTTGAAACATCTCTGGAAAAGGAAAGGGAGACGAAGTACAAGCTCCTGGGAAGTGTGATTTACCACTCAGCCAGGATGTGAGAGTCTCCATGTTAGAACCGGCCACATCTTGAAAAACTTTAACACATGTAATGACATTTATAATGTGAATGTTATGTAGGACTGATTATTCACACGATTGGTATGTGGATCTTTCCCAGGCAGGTATTTGACTTCATATATATACGCTCCCTGTTTCTCGAGAAACTCTACACCACTTACATTGAGTAGGAAGGAGAACAAGAGCTCCATGTAATAAAAGGAAAATGAGTTTGCTGTGAATGATGAGTCTGAGCAATTTCAATCCAATGTGAATCTGATTTTAACTGTTTCCTAATCAGTACAAAATATTCTAAAGAAGAATAGAAGGTTGGTGATCTTTAATTCAGCTCAAAATAAACTGGAAAGGGCTTGACTTTAGGGACATTTCATCTTGAACTAATTCCCTAGGCAGGGAGATGTGTTGATGGGGTTACCCTAAATCTGTGGGCAACAGGATGGTTCCAGGTATCACCTAAGTCTGAAGCTTTCTCCTGCCTCTGCTACCTTGGTCCTGGGACAATAAAAGGACCAGAAGGTACTTCTACTGGGGAAGAGTTGGGGGAAGTTCAAAGCAGAGAAACAAGGTAGGGGGTGCCCTCTTGCGAAGCTTTTCCTGGAGCTGTGTCATGGACCAGTGTCCTAGAAACCAGAAGGAAGGACTGTTCTGACCACGGTTGGACATAATAACCTGGATAGTAGGGAAAGGAAAATTGATGGGAAACGACACTTGTCAACACTTGTCAGTGATTGGCTATAGCACATGTCATCAGACAGACAAGTTTTGCCCTGTGTCTCTGTACTGTTGAGTGGACTGCACTGCCAAGATCCAGTTCTAGGTAAATTCTCTGCAAGTTCTTTGTCAGGCATTTTTGTGGCCTATCTAATTGGCTATAAAGCAATGCTGCCCTAAAGAGATAAAATAAGGGGGGGTGGTATTACTTAAAATAGATATATCAAAAGAAACATGGAAAATTATAACAAAATGAAATAGACCTTTTCCTTTTTTTTTAAACTAAAGTTTCTTCCTTCATTAAGAGAGAGATTATTACAGGGTAACCCAGTGTGAACTGGGCTGTCTGTCTGTGGGTCCTCACCCACTGGCCTAAAATTTAATTGTACTGCAGGCACACACAAAAGGGTCAATAATGGGTTTATTTACAAAGAGGAGAAAGGAAAAGGAACAACCCAGGGAAAGAGAGAGAGAGAGAGATACAAGAAAACTAGAATATCTTACCAGCCCTGCTGTCTTGGAGCTCTTAGTAACAAACTGATAGCCCTCACAGGGTCAGAGAGAGGCTTGCTCCAGAGAGAGCAGTTGCTCTCTTTCTCCCCAGAGCTGTTGAAAATGGTTTCCTATTTACCCCGCAAAAGTCCTAGAATGCCTGTTTAGCTCCACCCTTGGGTCTTCACTGTTCTCACTGTTCTTCCTTTGGTACTGCTGGGAGTTCCCAATCACTGGAGTAGGGGGTGGAGTCCAGAAAGCTGGAGTAGGGGGTGGAATCCACAAAACTCAGCAGAGTTCCTTTAAGACATGCTTGCCCTTAACAAGATCAGTTTCTAAGGAGTAGGATGCATATTTGTAAGTGAGTTTTGTGTTGTATTGTGAAGACCATCTACATGCTGTTTATTCTTGGCATATTGTCACACATCCCTCCATAGACATTCCAGGCTTCCATGGGAAATGTGGGTACAGAGCTGCCTTAGAGGCTTTGGGCTGCTTTCTCCTGCCATGTAGTATCTTTCAAACTGAGAAGCTAATTCTTGAGGAAAATCATCGTCATCCGTCAACTTGATAAAGCCATTAATAATGTCCGTAACTGGAAGAAACACTAACGATGCAATGCATTTAATTTTCCTGCTAGATTCGGCATCTGTTCCATAAATTTGGTAAAGACAGCATTAAAGAACAAGCTGTTGTATCTAAATTAGCTAAAGAACTGATAATTAATGCTCTCCAAGTCTGCTGTGAATGACTAGCCTCCTCTTTTGTATTTGCCATAGCCTGGTAAGCTTTTAGTTGTGATGGATGGGAGAGCTGACTGTGCTTGTAGAAGGGTTAGCAAACCGATATGCTATTTTCTACAATAGTATGCAATCTGCCTTTGCCCTCTCTTATTTCACTCTTTATTAGTAAATAGGGTGCCTTATTACCCTTTTTTCTATCAATTTGATATATCGTAGATACTACCATCAACTATTTAAAAACCTCCACATCATTTTTTAAAAAGATTTATTTATGTATTTGTGCATACAGACTGGGGTACAGGCCAGAGGCGCAGGAGGGGGTGGGTGAGAGGATCCACCAGAGACAGCGGAGAGCAGAACAGGCAGATAGAGGAAGTACACTGCTGAGGGGAGCAGCGGGCGGGTCAGGAGAGGTCTGCCGCGCCATGTGGGTCACCTCCGGGGCAGGCGGGGATCAATCTCTTGAGGAAGTGGTTTTCATTTTTAGTGTTGCGCTTCAACCCGCTGCACCACCAGGGAGGGCTCACCTCCACATCTTCTGGCCACTAGCTAGAACAAACGTGAACCAAAGCTTGGACCCACGCAGTCAAGCAATTACATTATCTTTTACGACAAAGTGCCTTACGGCCGAGTGTTTGCGGCTCCAGTGTTTGCGGCAGAGAACTCGGCGCGGGGCTGGGCGTCCGCAGCCCCCAGAGGACCCGGCTGGACTCGAGCCTCCTGCCCACTTGGTGGCCGACTCGTCTCGAGGTCGTAGACAGAGCTCCCTCACAGGTGATTTTTCGGCATTAGTGGTGTAGCAGCCTTCTAGCCTTGGTTTCCTTGAGCTGAGGAGAGGAAAACGGCGAGAAAGCCCCGTATGGCAGCGCTCTGAAGGTAAACCCGGTTAGAAGAAGCGGCATTTTCTGTTCCCGAGTCTCTCTTTTGGGGCTGAGACCTGGGAGCTCCTCTTGCCACTGGGAATGGAACTTTTTGTTTCTCGTGGTCTCTGCTTTAGGTGACTCAGCTCGGGTTGGAGCTGAAACTGGATCTAAAGTCACAGGAGGCTGAATTGCAGCGGCTGTTTGTTAGGTCTCCCTTGATAGTCCCTTGTTTGGAAAGAATTATAACGGAAACAAATTCCCTCTGGCCAGAAACTTAACTTAGAAATGCTCATATGGGGAAGCCCTTTTTTTGTTTGCCATTTAAATAAATCCACTGATGGAAATCAATATTTGTGAGTATTAGGGAAACAAACAAAGCCCTACATATTTATTGCAAACAGAAACACCCTAGAGGTTCTCTAGGGGAATTGAGGAGTGGGAGAGGGGTTGTCATTTCCTGCACAAAGAAAATCAGTGGTTTCATTTGTTTCGGTATAAACAGATTTTTCTTTAAAAATAGTATTACTGATAGCTTGCCAAATTTCTGCCGCTGACCGGGAAGAGGGATCATCAAGAATATTACATACAGATAACATTATTAAGAATAACTCTCACTTCGTCCTCACCTTCTGAAATTATTGAAAAGGATACGAGCAGCTCCTGACATTTGGGCACTGGGAGGACACTTACCAGTAGGCCGGAGTGTTCTCCTGTTAGATATAAATGATCACACAGAGGTCAATATCAGACCAGGGCATTGTGTGTGGTGAAGGGAGAGAATAAAACAAGACAGAACTGGATAATTTTGTCTAAGTACAGACAAAAAGACACAAAATTCTCAGATAGCCTCTTACTTTTGTTTTTATGAGTGACCATCAGAACTCAGGTGGCAGTTCATACCTCTTGCCACATAGATAAGATTTATCAAGATATCTAGACTACAGTTGCCCTCATTTTGTGATGGAACCCAACCCCTAGCAAAATCCTGCTTTTTCTCTCTGCCCCCTTGTCCCTCCCACCCCACCCCCCCCTTTCTTACACATTCTTCCTGGTATGTGTTCTCCATCTCTGCAAAGCCAACCTGTTCTAAAGGTGTGGTTCTGGTGATCGTGGAGCTGGAGGTCATTGCCATCATTCACTGGCTTATTAATAGTCTTTTCAACCCTTCTTGCCTAAAAATAGAACCATGATATTGTGGGGAAAACCCTGTCATTCTCCAGGAATGTCGGCTCACTCTCAAGCCAGGATGCTATGGGACTGGCCTTTCATAGGTTAGGTACAGGGGTGGGGATGCAAGCCAAGTCTGGTTAGTGTAACCTGTGGGGAAATGTATTTATTGTGCTATTTTAAACAGAAATGCTTTGCTATTTAGTATTTTAATGAATGACATTTAATTGTGTGGAAGTTACTCAGCTTTTGGAGCATTTTAAAACATTTCACTTAGAAAGCAAAATATGGAGAAACTTAGTGTGCTTTTTTTTTCATACTCTGTTACCATAATTTGCATTCTAAGATATGGAAGCACAATATATAGCACTTTAGATCCATGTTATTAATCTTTAATTTTTTATGCAATACTGACTCTTTTTTCAAGGATAATTTTAGTAGGTCCTATTTCATTAAACATATTTTAAATGATGTGTCTTCCTCCTTGCTTTCCTTCCAGCCTCCTTCATCTCTCGCTCTTTACCTCCCCTTTCTTTCTGCATTTTCTCCACTCTCTGTATTGAATTTTAGGGAAAAATGCAGGCTGCAAAGAATCCTCTCACACCTTGAGGAAATTATTGTGGTATTCTGTTAGTAATACTGAGTTGTTTATCTATTTTTTACATTAAAGTCTATTGTTTAGGATCACTGAACAGAGCAAATTGAACAGACACATGGTCAAAGCATTAGTGTAACAGCAACAAGAGCTATAAACACAATTTCTGAGTGCTGGAGATACTGTAAGTTGTACTAGACATGCAGTTTCATTCTGTCACTTGGGGTTAGAGATGCATTCTTTATGCTCTGATATTTCCCAGAGCTTTGCAGACAACTTCTGCCTGTGCTGGTGAATCCAGTGGCTAAGGAGAGGCACGTCCTTGTAGTCTCTTGTCCGTGTCTCTAGTTGCTTTAGACACCACAGATAACTTCCTTCGTTCATCTGTCAAAACCAAAACCCCTCATTTGCAAACTGATTCATGCAAATCATTTCCATTTGGCCTCCCTCTCTGTCACCAGACATTTATATATAGATGCTTTGGATCTCAATTTGGATCCATTTGTTATTAATGAAACACTTACTATGCTCACATGCATATGGATTTCTGATCAGTTTGGCTTACTGTTGTAATAAGAGGCTGCTCTTGAAGTAGAGGTTTCTTATGA